CATGCCTGAAACCCAGATACAGGCAAGGCCCGCTTAGTGCTCTTACTCGGTTCCTGAAAAACCGAGCGTTCAGTGAAACCTCAAGCCTTGGCCACCCAAGACAGCAGCTGCAAATGTTTTTAATGACTGAAGGTGGCGACTGTGAGCGTTGTAATGACACTCGCCGAGTGAGTGCTAAGTGAAATCGGGTATCAATTTTAAACCAGCGCTATAGCGAAACAGCGCTGTTTTGCCATGGCGCTCATTTGAAATTGATACCCGATTTCACTTGGCGCTCAGTGAGTTTCGTTATAACGCTCACAGTCGCCACCTTGGGTCACTAAAAACACTTGTGCTTGCCATTTTGGGTCACCAAATACTTCCCGTTTCACTTAACGCTGGGTTTTTCAGGAACCAAGCAAGAGTGCTAAGCGGGGGTTGCCCGTATCAATTTCAAATGAGCGCTACAGTGACACTGATCGCGCCAAGCGAAACCGGGTATTTCACTGTAGCGCTCATTTGAAACCGGTACCTGGTTTCGCTTAGCGCGATAGTGAAAAAGCGCTCATGTGAAATAGATACCTGATTTTGCTCAACACTGATTTTGCACTCATTTTAATTGATACCTGATTTCGCTTAGCGCTGTTTCGCTATAGCGCTCGTTTGAAGTCGGTGCCAGATTTTGCTTCGTGCTGTTTTAGCGCTCATTTGAAACAGCGCTAAGCGAAACCGGGTATCAATTGCTTCGTGCTGTTTTAGCACTCGTTTTAAAGTCGGGTATCGATCTCAAACCAGAGCTACAGCGCGAGGCGAAACCAGGTACCCATCTCAAACGAGCGCTCAGCGAAGTCGGGCGTCGATTTCCAATGAGTGCTATGGCGACACCCAGGTGTCCACCTCAACGAGCGCTATAGCGAAACCGCGCTCAGCGAAGTCGGGTGCCGGTGTCAAACCAGCGCTATAGCGAAACCCGGGAGCAGCCTGAGGCGAACAACGTTTGCAGTCCAATGGGGAGACCTCGTTTCACTTCGCGCTATAGCGAAGCAGCACAAGGTGGCGGCCGGGACACCCGTGCGGGACGGGGCAGCGCTGTAGCGGAGCAGCCGCGCGGCGTGCGGGGGGTTTGCTGCGCGGTGCCGGTGTTTTACCTCAGGCCGTGGGTGCGCGCGGTGCCCTCGGGCGGCCGTTGCCCGTTGGTCGCACCCGCCCCTCAGGACCGGGG